AACTTTATAATGATCTGGCCCTCTAGCAACTTCAGCATGAAATTATAGCTAATTTGCCTACAAACGTCAGGTGGTCATAATAATCTGGCCACTCAGTGTATATCCAGAAGTGGAATTACTGAGTAACATGTTGATTCCACGCATGACTTATAACTAGTTTTGATCATGGCATCTTGGCATGAGAGCTATAAGACTAAACTAAACAGACAACAGTGGTGGGGCAGTCCTGTGGCCCTTAGGCCTGCAGAGAAGGTAGTCAGGGTGGCATCTTTATACTCAGCTCATCTCTCACCCACCAACAGGGGCAGACTTTCCCATCACTACTCACTCCACTTCCCCATAGGCTCCCACATCAGCCCGCTGCCCTCTGCCTCGGCCTGCCCACTGCAGGCCACAGGGCGGGGCTGGCCCCTGCAGGCCACAGGGGCTGCCTGGCTGCTCAGCGCACTCAGCTGAGGTCACCTGGCACCCAGCCAGTGAGCTGAGCCGGCTCCCTCGCCCCTTTATGGGCCCTGTGTGGGTTGTCACAGGTAGATGACCACAGGTGACTTGCTTCACTTCCTGACTTTAGAGCGTAAGCCCCCCTGTGTGCGGGGGCATGATTTTCCAGTCATGGTCTTCCTCCTAGTTTCAAACTCCATCACTCAAAAGAACCCCCCCGCCCAGCAGGGCCAGATGCCCCGTCCACCCCCTGGCCACAGGGACTGAATGCCACCCACCTCACCTGCTCCCTCCATGCTGGTTTCCCTCCACGGCCCCCAGCTCCTGGTGAGCGTCTCGGATGGTATTTATTTTTCTAAGATGTGTGCCCCTGGACTTGCCTAAACCCCTCTCAGGTTGGAGGTGTCTCCTGCCCCAGCTGTGGCTCCCCCACTCTATCTGCTGTGAAAACGCACAGGCTGGCAGTTCTTAGCACACCTTCCTGCCGGGCCTCAGGACTGCCTGTGAGAGACAGGTGAGAGCGTTGGAACGGCAAGGTCCTGGGCCTCCCCACACCTCCCACCTCAGAGGCTCTGAGGGTGGGGGTGCTGTTTCACTGGCAAAGACCGTGCCAGCGCCCAGCGCCCAGCGCCCAGAGCTCCCGGAGGACTGAATGAGCCGACACGCCAGGCTCAGCAGCCAAGGACTCTAACAGGCCGCCCTTCTTCCTGCCTCTCCTCTTTCACACTGAGGTGTAACTCACAGCCAAGCGCCCACACCCAGGCCTGCAGCTCCGGTCTGTACAGGAGCGTGCACCGCGGCAGCTGCACCCAGATGAGCGGACAGGCCGTCCCAGCACGGGGGGGTCTCCTCTCAGGATGCCACGCCCCGACTCCAGCTTTGTTAATGAGTTTTCCTGGTTTTGAACGTGATCTAAACGGAACCATGCAGTGTGTGCTCTGTCTCCGTCTGGATTCTCTTGTCCAGCTTTGTGAGATCTACGGACGGTGCGGCCTGAGGGGGACGTGGCTCTGCTGTGTGAGGCACGTGGTGTGAACACATCACGCTTCCTCCGCCGCCATTGAAGGTTTGTTTACAGCGTTTGTAGAATGAGATACATTCTCCGGGAGCACAAGCCCGTGTTTCTCTTGGGTGCCTCGCCCCTTCCTGTGCCTCCCGGCCCACGCATGAGCTCTGGGGCGGCCTGCCCGGCTCCAGCCTACTGAGCAGCCCGGACTTGGCCTCCCCGGTTCCTCCAGCTGAGAGAGCGGCTCCGTCTCAGCCGGGAGCCAGCGGTCCTGTGCGCTGGGGGCTGGGCCAGGCCAGTGCCGGGCGCGGTGGTTTTCCGGGGCTGGGTACGAGGCTGGTGGCACTCTGTGGCGTCATTTCTGGGGAGCTGGGGGCTCAGCGTGGGGATCTGCTCTGTACGTAGCCGTGTTGTAGAAACATGTTCTCCCATGCGGCGCACATCCTCCCGCATGGCTTTCAAGCACAGGAAAAGGCTTCTGCAGTGTGGCATCGCTGGCTGGTTTCCCAAAAGGGGCAACAGAGGTGTGTGGAGCAGTGGGGGGAGTGGTCTCCATGCCAACAGGAAGGTCATCCTGAGGTCAGGTGCCAGGGAACGTGGGCTGGGCTGAGAGGCACCTGCAGCTCCAAACCGCTCTCCAGGCGCCGGGCGGGCGTGACCCTCTCCAAGGACCCACTGCTGGTTCGACTCCTCCACACACCAGAGGGATCTCAGGCATCAGGAGTGAGGGCACCGACCGAGAAGGAAGGGAAATGGGGCCCGAGCCGAGTCTGAGCCGGCCCGGCCTTGCCCTTTCTGGGCCTCGCCTGCAGACTGTGGTAGTGCTGCCGGTGGAAGTGGGGCTCTTGTGGTGTCACGAGAAAAGCATTTTCGGGGACCCACAAGGAGGATGCGCCTGGTAGTGAGATTTATTTGGGTGAAAATAGAAATTTATATTGGGGGTCTCTGCCTGTCCTGCCACGGAAATCAGGGCCAGAAAGAGGACCAGTGTCCAGCCTGTGCCACATCACAGCCCCGCCCGCCCTGCCTTTCTCT